TGAACAATTTGTACCGGGGACAGGCAGCAAACTAGTTACTAGCAAAACTAGTACCTAGTCAACCGACACTTGGCCTTGATCACCACCTACACCCTCCTATGCATGTTATCTACGAGGTTAGTGCAAACCTTTACAGGGATCTTCTCGCACTCTTCCTGGACCCACGCTTTTGCATAAGGGGATGAGCACTAGGAAAATCGCGAAGTATTTGAACGTATGCAAGAGTACTGTGCACGATTTCATGTTGAATGTTATCTCTAAGACTAGCCATGCTGAGGTGTGGCCAAATATGCCATTAGTCGATTCGTCTCGTCTTATCATAGATCGTCTTCATCGCACCGTAGTAGGTAAAAATTACGAGCAGAGTGGCGAAAAATTGCGTATCTGCCACGAAACTTAGGGTAACATAGCACGGTTGACAGTGCATCCTTGCACTCTTAGAATCACGCTAGGATCCGTAGGTCTCTGAGCGGTGCAGCAATCGAAGTAGTCGTGACTGGTGGGGAAAAATATCCGGGTTCAGGTCTGGTGAGGAAGAGGGTCACTCTCGTGCTATAAACTCATGCTCTCCAAGCCATTCCAAGCCTAGGCGGGACACATGGCTTAGAATGGCTTAGAGAACACGAGTATGTAACGCTGGAGTGACCCTTTTCCTCACCAGATCTCAACCCGGATATTTTTCCCCACCAGTCACGACTACTTCGACTGCTGCACCGCTCAGAGACATACGGATCCTAGCATGATTCTAATAGTGCAAGGATGCACTGTCAACCGTGCTATGTTACCCTAAGTTTCGTGGCAGATTCGGAATTTTTCGCCACCCTGCTCGTAATTTTTACCTACAACGGTGCGATGAAGACGATCTATGATAAGACGAGACCAATCGACTAATGGCATCTTTGGCCACACCTCAGCATGGCTAGTCTTAGAGATAACATTCAACATGAAATCGTGCACAGTACTCTTGCATACGTTCAAATACTTCGCGATTTTCCTAGTGCTCATCCCCTTATGCAAAAGCGTGGGTCCAGGAAGAGTGCGAGAAGATCCCTGTAAAGGTTTGCACTAACCTCGTAGATAACATGCATAGGAGGGTGTAGGTGGTGATCAAGGCCAAGTGTCGGTTGACTAGGTACTAGTTTTGCTAGTAACTAGTTTGCTGCCTGTCCCCGGTACAAATTGTTCAGATGTGTTGTTATTAAATGTTGTCGTCTTGAAGGACCATGAAATATACTACTCTGGTTTTAGGAGATTTGAGTGAGTGCTCTAACTGCTCCTCTCTACGTGTATGGCCACCATGAATTAAGGCTTAATGTTTATAGCGTACAGCTCATCAAAATGTGAAAATATGCTAAACATGTGGACAATTGTTTCCGCCACTGTATGCAATTTTGCCTTGGAATCTCCTCCACGCAGTATTGACTTTCTGCCGAGATTAAAATTTTGCGTGTGTTTCGTTCGCTAGCACCAAAGGGGGCGATGAGACTCGTGGGGCCAAGGTGGTGTGTCACGTGCAACGAAACCCGAGACCCTAGTCCATGTGTAGGGTACGCCCCTCCCCCAGGTCTGGTCGATATACGGACAAAAATTCTTCCCAGACAAATGTGATTTGCGAATTCTACAAATTCCGGACGAATCCTTCAAGAGTTTCTACCCCTCCCCTCCTCCCCTCCTCTGTAGTAATCACACGTTCATGAACTTAGGCAACACTAAGTGGTTCGGGCGAGTGCACGTGGGAGGCGAAAAGAACTAGGGTGTGAGAATCAATTTTGCAAGGCAGGAGGGAAATCGGCGACATCCAGGTGGCAATTTTTTGAAGGGTCAATGGGCACCCTTGCACACACAGGCCCCCCGCAAGAAACGCCTACAGCCTACCCCGGCAAATTTTTTTTTGAAGGGGCAATCAAATCCCTCACACCGCCTCCAGCACAAACTGTGAGGTAATTTTTCACAAGGGCAAGTCATTTCCCCCAAACAGCCCCCAGCATACATTGGCCTCTGATTTTGGCGAAGGGTCAGATAGCACCCTCACAGAGACCCTCAGCAAGTATCGGGCCCTGATTTTGGCTAAGGGCCAATCAGTGCTCTAATACTACGGAAATCGTTTCCATACGAAAGAATACGCGCTGTCTGCAGACTCATATGAAATATTACACGCAGTCTTAAATTTCAGACGAAAATAAAACATCGCTCTCAACGATCAGACGAATTTTTCAGGGTTGTCTAAACTTTCAGATGAACCTAAAAAATCAGGTCTGAAAATCATACCATCAGACCGATTTCGACTGATATAAAGGGCCGTGCTTGGGAGGGGTGCGAGACAGGCAGCTGGATAGGATTAGAAGTACTCTTTCTTGTAAGTGTACTCGCTTGCTGCCACTTTTTCTGTAAGGGTATTTTTTTAAGCTACTTTGTAATATAAGGGTCCTAAATATTTGTACTTTTTCACATAAGGGTATAACTCCAGCGCAACCTTACACTTTACTGTAGTTACAGGATCTCACGTGATCAGACGACTGACGTGTTGCAGATATGATGTGACGACGTGCCTTGGGTGGCACTCGACAGGGTGCACCAAGATTTTTGTTTGTTAGCGCTGAAGTGGAGGGAATGTCGCACCTCGGTAATTTTTCTGTTAGTGCGTATTTCTACATTAGTGCGTTCAGTACCAGGGAACCAAACTTCGCGAAGTACCAAATCGAACCGAACAGGAATTCGCGTTTTGACCCTCGAACCTCACTGTTTCGCGTTTCAGAGTCCATTTCGGGTTTGCTGGTACTGATTACTGTCTTGTAAAAATACGACCTCATTCCCTAGACCCTTCCTGGTTGCGACCTGATTTCCCGTTGGTGCCCCACTCGTTTTTTTTTTTTTTTTTTTTTTTTTTTTCTTTCATTTCTTTAACTAATGTAGTGGCGGATACAACTCTACCAACACGAATTATACATTCAAGACGGCAGGTTTTGTAACTATGCGCATGAATTCTTGGGTGAGTGGCAGCCATCAAAGCGTAAACCATTAGCAGAAGAAATTGACGACGTGAATCCCCGTCGTGCGAGGGCAGGGGCCAGGTAAAAACCCGTGAAAACTTAAGCCGGATATTTCGTAGGCGCGACATTCCCTCACTGAAGTGGGTATGGGGGAAGAGAAGGTTTGACATATCATGTCCAGGGCTTTCTTTTCGTTTCAGGCTACCCTGAAATTTCAAGGCAGTTATTCCCCCCAGTCTATGTAAGGAATTTTATTCCTTACCGGGTTGTACTGCAATCGCGTACACTCGAACTCTCGGAACACCAGGCTCGGTCCGTTTCCGACGCGACCCCGAGGCACGCCCGCGCCGCCTCCGATCCTTTCGACCGCACCTGTACCCAACCTAGCCCTCCGGCTTCGTCACCTAGCTAGAGCTCTTGCTATATAATGCTAGGCTAGCATTCTTGTACTCGTCATTATTATTCCGCTCACTCTCAGTTATTATTCATAACATCTGGTATCAGAGCTACTTTCCTGGTTCACCCCGCTTTCTCAGGGTAGTTTATTTTTCAGGCATGGTTAACCTTGCGGGGCTGCAAAGCGGTTGTTCGTGAGCTAGAGTTATTAGCTCACACAACTACGATAGCGTTTGCGCCCCCTACGGTTTCTTACCACGGCCTTCCCCCTGCTCGAAAGGCGTAGCATTCGCATCATGTCCCAGGCCCAGCTTGACGAGGTCATGGCTCAGATGTAGGCAATGCAAGCCCAAATGGCGAGTTTGAACAGTGAATCCAATTCAAACCAACAGGCAGAAACAATATTCGGTACGACCACGATTCGCACGTGGAAACAGTGGGGCACAGCTCTGCGAGCTCGTTTTGAGCACTCATCCGCCTCAGACGACGCTCGCATGAAGCTGCGCAATTGGCGGCAGGTGACTACTGTTCAAGATTACACTGCGTCGTTCTCGGCACTTGCGGACCAAGTCGACGACCTCAGCGAAGCGGAAAGGCGGGACAAATACGTTAGCAGGCTGCATTTCGATATCCAATACGAGTTGCAGCGGTCCCGTCCCAAGACGTTCGATGAAGCTGTCCAGCTGGCATAAGCATCCGATGCAATGTAGCAGTGGGCGAGAAAGAACAACAGGGATGTTGGTCGTTTTCGCGGACAGTCTCCCCGCCCCACGATCAATGGCGTGTCAGCGCCCGATAAAACATTTCACGGGCTATGTTATCGATGTGACAAGCCAGGTCACCGAGCTAAGTACTGCCCGACGGCGCCCAAGAAGACGAAGAACGACAAGGAGAAGCCGGGAAATGGGAAAAGTCAGTAGCAGACGGGCCCCCTACTGACGAGGCTTTGTCGCCCGAACTTCAACGTTCCCACCAAGTTGTGGTACCGATACACGCTATCGACCGCACTCGGACGAATAACGGGAGCGAACCTGAAGATCACCCTGTGCTGGTCGAAGGCAAGGTTAACGGCAAAAAAAAAAATTATTTGTGGATGGCGGAGCTAGTCACAGTCTCATCCACTTAACAACGGTGAAGCATTTGAAGCTGACGTTGGAAAAATGCCTTCCCGAAATCGACGCGTGACTGGTGGACGGAACTCCACTTGCAATTCGAGAACGAGCGCGCATGGTGCGGATGAAGTGTGGCGACGACTTCGGATTCAGCATGCCCATCCTGGCCACGACGCTGGACGGCTGCGACATTCTGCTTGGGCGTGATTGGCTGCAAAAATACAACCCGAGGATTGACTGGACAACTAGCGAATGCAGCGTGCACTGTGCGACCGGGTGACGTGTACTTCCGAGCTGGCGTGGGAGAGATCCGGTGTCGACACGTGTCAACGCCATCACCCTCCAGCGAGCAGTTAAAAAAGGAGCTGATCTGTACGCCGTCCATCTGGCCGAAGCGACGGTGGATGATACGCCAAAGGACATTGACACAATATGTGCCAATGTCCCTGCAAAACTCGCCACGCTGATTTGACGGTACCCTGATATTTTTCCGGACGACCTCCCAGCAGGGTTGCCACCCGAGCGCCCCCAGGACCACAAAATTGACCTGGAACCCGGCGCGCAGCCTACAGTCAGGACCCAATGGCGACTGACTCAGCCCGAACTCACGGAGTTGCGGAGCCAGCTGGACTACCTCTTGGAGAAGGGGTTCATTAGGCCCAGCACGTCCCCGTTCGCGGCACCAATCCTGTTCACGCCAAAGAAAGACGGCGGGCTGCAAATGTGCATCGACTACAGGGCGCTGAATCGGCGAACCATTAAGTCTCGCTACCCAATCCCACGCGCGGACGATCTTCTCGATCAACTTCGCGGAGCTCGCTTCTTCTCGAAAATTGACTTACGCGGCGGTTACCATCAGATCCGAGTCTTCGCTGACGACTGCCACAAGACGGCGTTCCGAACCCGCTATGGCAGCTACGAGTACACCGTGATGCCGTTTGGCCTCATGAACGTGCCCTCCACTTTCCAACTCACCATGAATGGCGTATTCCGCGATCTCCTCGACAAGTGTGTCATCGTCTACCTTGATGACATTCTGATATACAGCCAGACACAGGAACAGCACCTGAGGGACCTCGAGCAAGTTTTCCAGCGGCTGCAAGAACACCGCCTCATTACGAAGGGCTCTAAGTGCGAGTTCCTAAAATCCGAACTGGAATTTTTGGGACATGTCGTGGGAGCGGACGGCATCAAAATCGACCCGAAGAAAATCACAACGATTCGCGACTGGAAGCCGCCGACGAATTTACAGGAGCTGCAGAGTTTTTTGGGTTCGTCAATTACGTCCGGCAGTTTATCCCCAATATGGCAGGGATAACCGGACCGTTGATTGACCTGCTCCGGAAGGGCACTTTGTTTGAGTGGGGGGAGAGACAACAAACTGCTTTCGATGAACTGCGAAATTTTCTGTCGTCGCCCCCGGTCCTCCGAATCGCCGACCCATCTCGACCGTTCGAAGTCTTGACGGACGCTAGCGATTTCGTCATCGGTGCGATACTGTAACAAGATTTCGGCGACGGACTCCAACCAATCGCGTATGAGTCTAGGAAGTTGCAGGCAGCCGAGCGCAACTACCCCATCCACAATAAAGAAATGCTCGCCATCGTGCACGCGTTCAAGGTGTGGCGATGCTACCTGACGGGAGCCGACGTGACAGTACGGACAGACCATAAATCCCTACAGTACCTCCGCGCGCAGCCAAACCTCAATCCACGACAGATTCGTTGGCTGGACTTCCTCGAAAGCAACTTCCACTACACCATCACATACAAACGTGGGGCGAATAACATCGCCGACGCACTGACACGACCGTCCGCCCACCTCGCCTCCATCATCATTGCGAAATCAAACCCACTGCTCACCGGACTATTTACCCACGGCTACAACACCGACCCCTTTTTCACCCGCAACCTCCACCAACAAGCCACCACAGCCAAGGGACCCTACTTCCTAAAAGCCGGTACAGACCGTATCTGGGTTCCCGCCTACAGACTCCTCCGCGAATTACTTATTCAAGAATTCCACGATTCTAACCTCTCCGGTCATTTCGGGGTTGACAAAACCCAGAAGTTACTTCACCGTTCTTATTATTGGCCTGATTCGGAGTCTGATGTGCAGAGATACGTATCTGCGTGCCCAATCTGCCAACGCATGAAGTCTTCTCGACAGCGGCCAGCTGGACTGCTGCAACCGCTCGAGCCACCCCAGTGACCGTGGCAACATGTGACGATGGACTTCGTCACGGGGCTCCCGGCCGCAGCCACGGGCAACGACGCCGTGCTGGTCTTCGTCGATCGACTGACGAAGATGGCACATTTCGCACCCTGTCGCACAACAATCACAGCCGAAGATACCGCGAAGCTTTTCAACTCCACCGTTGTTCGTCTGCACGGCCTACCCTCAGCGATCATCAGCGACCGCGACCCAAATTCACGTCCAAGTTCTGGCAGGAGACATGGGCCCAGTACGGCACACACCTCCAATTTTCCTCCGCCTACCATCCTCAAACCGACGGCCAGACCGAACGAACCAATCAAACCATGGAGCAGCTGATACGCACCAACTGCCCCGATCCTGCCCGGTGGGAAGAATTATTGCCCATGCTGGAATTTTCCTACAACAATGCCCCATCGGCTACGACCAATCACTCGCCGTTTTTCCTAAATTACGGGATGGATCCGACCATCCCGACGACTACCCACATCGACAATCCCCGTGCCACGTTCCCAGCAGTTCGTGACCAGTTTGCAAGCTGCCCGGGATAAAGCGATCGAATTCATTCGAAAGTCCAACACAACCGCTCGACGCTTTACAGACCTCCATCGCCGCGATATCACGATGAGCGCTGGGCAACTAGTCCTCCTCGATACGAAGAACCTTCGGTTGCCCCTGCCTTCAAAACTCCGCCCGCGATTCTGTGGCCCCTTTCGCATTGTCAAGATGGTGACACCTGTCACCGCGAATTTACTACTCCCGGACGAGTGGCGTATTCACGACGCCTTCCACGCCAGCCTGCTTCGTCCCTACGTCGCCAGCACATCTGCAGTCGCACGACCAGCGGCCGCCCCCAGTGTCCGCCCACTAGCTGAACCGACCCTTGAGCCTTTCCGGCTTTTGAGTCATCGCGTTCGCCTCGACTCAACCGGACGACATGTGGATTTTCTAGTCCGCTGGGTCGACCGTACAAGCGAAGACGACACCTGGGTCAATTCGGACTCGATTCAGGAACACTCGGTGCTCAAATCTTATTTGACCCGAAAAGGCGTTCCCAATATTGATCACCTTCCTTAGGAGGGGGGGTAGTGTAAGGAATTTTATTCCTTACCGGGTTGTACTGCAATCGCGTACACCCGAACTCTCGGAACACCAGGCTCGGTCCGTTTCCGACGCGACCCTGAGGCACGCCCGCGCCGCCTCCGATCCTTTCGACCGCGCCTGTACCCAACCTAGCCCTCCGGCTTCGTCGCCTAGCTAGAGCTCTTGCTATATAATGCTAGGCTAGCATTCTTGTACTCGTTATTATTATTCTGCGCACTCTCTGTTATTATTCATAATAGTCTGACTGGAACACACTTGGAACAGGGGGACTTAGCCGAATCCACCGGGTTGCGAGGTGTATGGGAGGACTGTCTCTCTTAGTGGGGGACTTAGTCGAATCCTCTGGGTTGCAAGGGTACTACAGCAACTTTGTCTCTGCCAGTGGGGGACTTCACCAATTTTTCGGGGTCGCTCGGGGGCTCTGGGAGTAATGCCTTTGGCAGTGGGGGAATTAGCCGAAATTTTGGGTTGCGGGGGGTATTGTAGGAAGAAATGACTCTCGGATTGGGGGGACTTAGCCGAAATCTACAGGTTGCCAACGGAATAAATTATTTCAGCGGGGGATCGCATATGTGATTGTGTAAGGGTGATTTTACATTACACTTTTCCGCATCAGGGTCCCTACACTCGACCACTTTGAAAAAACAGGGTCCCGTATAGATCTAGTTTTTTTCATAACGGTAAAAAACTAAACCACTTTTAAAAATAAGGGTCCAACCAGGGTCCTAAATAGCAGACTTTTTTTGTCTGATTGTCTGATTTTCAGACTGGTTTTTAGGGGTTTCTCTGATTTTTCAAACAACGGTTTGAAAAAACTCTGATTGGCCTAGACAAGCTTTTAAGATTTCTCTGAATTTCTCAGACTAGGTGTACCGGTTTCTCTGATTTTTAGACAAGTGAATCGAGTTTCTCTGAAACAGAGACATACATGCGTACTGGCTCCACATACACCCCTCACACCCCAAAGATTTCGGCTAAGTCCCCCACACCAGAGACGTTCCTCCCCACACACCCCTTGCATACAAAAAATTCGGCTAAGTTCCCCACACCAGAGACATTCCTCCCCACCCACACCCACACCCCTCGCACCCCAAAAAAATCGGCGAAGTCCACCCCCCCCACATCAGAGACATTCCTCCCCATACCACTTGGGGGCGGGGGCAAACCCTGAAATGGCAGGGCCAAAAGAGAGGGCTGTCTGCACGTGACACGTCACGTGAGTCTCATTCCCCTTAGGACCCGTTCGAAAAGTGTGCGTTCTTAGCGAACGCTCTCGAAACATGCCAGAAATGAATTCCCGCCAAAAACGACAAATCATGGTTGACGAAAAGTAAATACACGACTTCGTCATATTCGGGCAGATTCGTCAATGCCATGGCAAAAACAACGAGGCCTCCTAATACAGTAACTCCATTTATTTCGCCAAGATCTTTTGGTTTTCATGCGCAGAACATTTATCCTATCAAAGGCTGGATACAAGGCCGAGGCAAACATGCTCTCTTTGGTTAAAAAGGTGAACCTCGCGACATCTACATTGCCCGTAACATTTTTCCGAGCATGTACAGAAGACGTAAAAGGCACGTGTTAGGGAAAAATGAACTAGTTGGACACGCCCTAAGTCTTCGTATGACGGTCAGATGGAAGTTCAAAGCCAACTCTGATTTTCAGAAGGTCGAAAATCCTAGCAGAGTCGCTGGTTTGGACGCTTAGCGGTTTTGCTCGTTTGTAACCCGCAACCGCTAATTAGTAGAAGTGCTGCAAGTCTCATCATCTCATGCAAACAGACTATGCAAATACGTTTCTCTGAATTTTCAGACATTCGTTCTAGAATTCTCTGAAAAATCAAACAACTTTTTCCTACTTCTCTGATTGTGAAAAGTGCATCAGACAAAATGCGCAACCCTTGTCTGATTCCTCAGACATGTTTTTTTCCAAAAGAGAACCCTGGTTCCAACAGCTACCCCACCCTTATTATAAGGGCTGTAAGGGTATTTACCCTGATATCATGAGGCCTGGTGCAAGAGTGCTGCGGGAGATATGGCACAGAGTTTTCGATATGGAGGTTTCCGCAATTCACCTGTTTTTTAATACCGTATTCCCCCGGATAAAACACCCACGGGTGGCACTAAAATTTAATGCAAAATTTAGTGGGGGTGTAATTAGTGGCACTTTTTGTATAACGCCCGGGTGCTATGGAATGACAATTTTATGTTTATGAACTGGAATTGAACTGTGTTGTAGACAGTTCTTTTGTGCCGATTTTTTACGATTCTTGCACGTGATCGTGTATATGGTGAGGAGGACCATCATCATGCCACATTGCATGCAAACAGTCATAGGTTGCCTGCGCCACAGATTGTCACGTTCTGTCAAATCGTGGTGGCAAGTGGCAACCTCGGCGGGAATCAGGCTCATACACTATCGTGGTGGCAAGTGGCAACCTCCCATGAGCCTCGTACAGTATCAGGCTCGCAACATTCGCCTGATACAGTACTCGGGAATTCCAGGCATGGTAGCAGTTCTACAACGCATTGAACCAATTCGCGTCGAGCTTGCACTACTCAGTGACGCGCGAGTCTGACAAGAGACACTCTGATAAGAGGCAAAATCTACAGAACTCCATTGAAAATGAACCAGGGGGGTGGTGTATAGGTTTCATGCCAAAAACTAGGGTGGTATGTGTCAAACATGTGTATTTGTTATATTTGCATAGACTGTATAGGGTCATCTCTTAGAGGGTACAACACTTAGGTATATCTATCTGTACTCTCACTCTACCCATTATTCACTTCTCTAAATCTGATATGGTATCACGCGTAGGTTAGGATCCCCCCCACCTACCGCTTCCGCTCGTTCCCCAGCTAGGCCCCGCCGCGCCTCCCCCCGACCCCCTGGGCCCCGTCGTGCCCCTAGCCCTGCCGCGCCCCTCCTGGGCCCCGTCGCGACCCTCTAGCCCCGTCGCGCCTCCCTGGGCCCCGTCGCGACCCCCTAGGCCAGTCGCGACCCCCTGGGCCCTTCGTGCCCCTCGCCCTGTCGCGCCCCTCCTGGGCCCCGTAGCGCCCCTCCTGGGCCCCGTAGCGCCCCTCCTGGACCCGTAGCGCCCCTTCTGGGCCCCGTCGCGCCCCTCCTGGGCCCCGTAGCGCCCCTCCTGGGCCCCGTCGCGCCCCTCCTGGGCCCCGTAGCGCCCCTCCTGGGCCCCGTCGCGCCCCTCCTGGGCCCCGTAGCGCCCCACCTGGGCCCCGTAGCGCCCCTACTGGGCCCCGTAGCGCCCCTCCTGGGCCCCGTAGCGCCCCTCCTGGGCCCCGTCACGCCTTCAGGCCCCGTCGCGCCCTGCCCGGCCCCGTCGCCCCGGCCCGGCCCTGTCGCACCCGCCCGGACCCCGTCGCACCCGCCCGGCCCCGTCGCGCCCTGCCCGGCCACGTTGCACCCGCCCGGCCCCGTCGCACCCGCCCGGCCCCGTCGCACCCGCCCGGCCCCGTCGCACCCGCCCGGCCCCGTCGCACCCGCCCGGCCCCGTTGCGCCCTGCCCGGCCCCGTCGCACCCGCCCGGCCACGTCGCACCCGCCCGGCCCCGTTGCGCCCTGCCCGGCCCCGTCGCACCCGCCCGGCCCCAGTTGCGCCCTGCCCGGCCCTGTCGCCCTGCCTCGCCCCGCCGTGCCCTGCCTGGCCCTGCCACGCCCGCCCGGCCCAGCCGCACCGGCCCGGCCTCTGCGCTCATCCCTGCCCCGGCCCTTGCATCCTCACTGGTACGGTTCCCCCGCCCTCCCTGCACTGCCCTGCATTGCACTACCCCGCCCTGCACCGCAGTGCACTGCCCTGCACCGCCCTGCACTGCCCTGCACCGCCCTCCATTGCACTGCACAGCACTGCACCGCCCTGCACCGCACTGCACAGTACTGCCCTGTCCTGCACTGCCCCTGATGGCGGCGGAGCTTCGGTTTGACGCTGAAGGCCAGCCTCTGGAGTTCGAGGCGTGGCTTGCCGACCTCCGACGCCAACTCACTGGCCAGCGGCAGGATGGTGAACCGCTGTCCGCACACCTTGACGGTACGCTCCCCTGCCCAGATCCCCCTGCTGTTCTGCCCGCTGACCCCACACCCACCGAGCGCGAATCTACTGCTGCCACTGCCCGTGCGCGCTCTGTCTGGCTTTCTCGCGATGCTGTCGCCCAGCTTGCCATTAGCAACGCCCTTCCCCCGTCCGAGCGCCCTCGCTTTAGGTCTCTCACTACAACTCAGGCTTACTTAGATGCTGTCATCAAGCGCTATTCCACCCCTCCGGCTGCCTCGGTGGGTCGCCTGATCCTCCCGATGCTCTTTCCTGACCTTGCGCCTTTCCCCACTGTCTCTGACCTCGCTGCCCACCTGCGCTCGATAGATGACACCTGGCGCGCTGCCTGCACTGACGCACAGCTTAGAGCCCACCAGCCGCCCATTACCTCTACCCTTTACTTGCTTGCCACCCGCCTCCCTG